TAATCACATCCAATCTTTTTTTTAAAAACTTGTCCATACTTCCTGTTTTCAGTGAAAAAATCTGTGGCGTATTTATTAAACATTTTTATAAATTTCTTTTGCTACTTAGCTTTCACTAGTTCAAGGAGCAGCAGCATGGTTTGCTCTCCTGGTGTTCAATTCTTCCATTTATAACACAGTTTTCATTACAACGTCTGTGATATTAGTAAGAGGGCAGAAAGCCTGGGTCAGAATGTGTTTGTCCCGTTAAGCATCCACACAGGTGATGCCTGAATTCGTTTATATGTTTCTGAGACAAAAAAGACCATATCGGGGAATAAAAGCTGCACATGAGGTGCAAGATACTGTATGAAACTGGTCTTTATTGATTCTAACCTCAGACTCATCAATTTTGGCCATCCTTTTGCATGGTGTTGTGAAGTATTGGCACACACCTTGTCTTACAGGGCTTCTGAGTGAGGGCAGTACCTGTACAATTAAACACACCTTTCAAACTACGTTTCTTTAGACAGATCATCAGTCCTTTTCAATGGTGTTTGAACTTCCGTGATGCAGTGCTTTCCATCAGTAGCCTTTTTGTGAAGTACAGTATGCCTCAGAGAATCTCAGTCATGCTGACAGTGCAACGAGAGAAGCATACTGAAAAATGAAATTAAGAAGCTTTTTTTTAATCCTGCTGTGGTATGAAAACTTGTTTACACTTTCCTCTATCCCAAACAAGGCCATTGAGAATCTCCTGAAATCTCCCAGTTTAATGTCCATTGAAGTGTACACGGGAAAGGGAAGATTCCTGACCACAATTAAATGCATCACCTCACTGTGTTTGCTTCACTGGGTAATTGCCAAAAAATGTAAAAAATTTGCTAAAGAAGTAGATTTAACCTGTAAACAAAACTGTACAAAATCAGAGCATGAAGAGCCTCCTTTTTAATTAGAGCTTAGAGACATCATGGTTCACCCACCATAACTACAGCATTGTCATCCATTTGAGACATGAGCTTTCTTTTGTAGTCAGACATCAAAAATCACTCACATCACAACCTGCATCAAAGGTTTTGATCTGTGCTGACATCTCTAAAAGCCATGAAACCTCCCTACTGAATCTCCATCTCATCAATATATGGCAACAGAAGTGAATGCTGGTTTATTTTGAAAATGTCAGTTGTTTTCTTTACCTCACAAGCAAAAAAAAAGCTGCACTCAACCACAGGCTCAATGTGGGAAGTTATTTCTTCAGCAATCCATTTGATCAGTGTGTTTTGGGTTGTCATAGACAGGCCTGAAATTATGCATTTTTCTGCTAGAAAACTTTCAATTTTTATGATGACATAAAAAATTAAAGTCTTCCCTGAAATTACTCTGGCTCATGGAAAATTTAGTCTTCAAGTCACCACAGAATGCAAATTCTTGGCACGGTTTCAAACAATATCTTTTGGTACACTTTGGAATTGTTATGATATTCTCCATTTTCTTAGGCGTCTTAAGACCCAGTTTTCACTGCCATCAGACAACAGAAAGATATTTCCACATTCCAAACACAGATTTAAAAAACACTTTATTTTGTACAGCATGTGGCTTTTGTCGTGAATTGTGTACAGACACACTTTGCAAGCAAATCCTTTTGAATCTCATAGTTTAATGACAAAAATTAAAACAACTACATTTGTAATTCACGGCCATTAAAACCTGTAAAGAAATTATATACTAGGCACCGGCAGGTGTGGTCCAAACTTCTTTTTTCAGAATCTCAAATCTTATTTTAAAAGAACATCTATAAATACAATTTAACAGTTAAGCTGTGCCACACTTGATCATGTTCATAAGCCATCTTTGCTTTCACAAGAAAAAGTAATTACTGAAAGATCAAAAATAATTCCAAATTATCTTGTGCAAAGATAAGTCTTTTGCATTTATAATGAAGATAAGCATATTCTGAATTACTTGTGTTTGTTCATCATTTACTCTGTAAACCTTGGGGCCATGTTGTCTGATTGTGCTGCCTTTAAAAGAATTCAGCCCAAATTGACAGATATTTGGCTGTAAAAGCTGCTGTATAACATGGGGATGATCATGAAAGCATTATATGCACACTGAGCGTCGTTTAAATTTCCATGCATAGAATGCTTGCAACTGAATAGAGTTTCTTGAATAAATACTATTAATGTGTACTGCTTAATAATCTTTTACACAACGTTTGTTGCATTTGTGGAATTTGCTTCAAAGCAGATTTCTGCCAATTTTGACTTCGTGAAATAGTGAAAATACAAAAAAAGTAAAAAGAATGTCCACTTAAAAAAGCAACTCCCTGAGAAAATGGTTTCTCGATATGAGAAGAATTGTATGAAGATGTATGGCACATTATTTTGTAAAGTTATTTTCTGAAGCCATTGTCTTTTCTGTCACTGATATACTCAGTCCAAAGAGATACAGTATATGCTATAGTTTGCAATATAAATAAATTGGCAATGTAGAAATATTTAGAGATCACTTAGAATTCCAGTTCTTAAAGAATAAATGCATTGAGCACTTCTCTTTCATAACGAGTCCCCCAGTAATTGCAGGTCTTGCAGATAAAGCATCTGTGATCCATGATAATTGCACATTGGTAGAGAATGATATCCATATCAGTTAAAATTAAATATTATATTAATACAACCTTGTGTTTTACCATCTGCTATTTGAATGAAATCAAAATTTCCAGTTTCAAACTGTATATTTAAGCCATTTTAAAACTGTAAATGTTATGGTACTGTATATGAATAAACAATGTGGGCTCCAGTTGATCTTTTCTTGGTTGTTCAGTGCACCTCTTTGACAAATCAGTAGATGCAGTTTAGTTGGCTATTAGACAACAGGCTGAAGAGTGTTTGGCTTTGAACCTCCCCAAAAAAATAATCCATTCAAATGTCCATCTGCTTCTTGTAAGAAAGATTGGGTACCTAATTTTAAATGGCTCCATTTCCAGATTCTATGTATTCGTCTTAATTGCTGTAACCAGAGAGAAAGCTCTGCCTGCACTTAAAATCTATCACCCCATGACAACTCTGGTATATCTGCATCCACTGGAACATACATTAGATTGATAGATTAACCACTCCTGGTATGAATACACTTTATTTTGATGCCTAAGATTTTCCTCTTTTTACAAAAGCTTCCCATTTCACTGTGGTCATCCATTATATTGGCTGTAATGAGGCTGTAAGATATCAAACTTCCTTTCCAAACAGAAAGTCTGCTTTTGTGGTTTTATAATGTGATTCAAAAATAAGTATTATGTTTTTTTTTGCTTTTTGTTTCAGACTACAGTCACTCAAATATATGGAAATAAAGCTCCAGTTGTCTTCTCTTCAAATCAACCAAAGCACATGGCAGGGCTGGTCACTGCAACTGGTAGTCAGACACTCAGTGACTCTGGAGCAAAACAGCATATGGATTTGGAGTGAGCTGTTTTCTAGAACATACATTGTTCTGAAACTTTGAGACAAAGTAAAGGCTTATGTTGCTAGACTAGAGCCTATTTTCTGTTGATGATGAATGTACTGCACAATGTACTGTAAGAAGATAAGAAAAACAACAACACAGGAACAATACACAGACCCTATTATAACAAAATAAACCCACCAGAAGAAAAGGCTAGAAATTATCACAAAACTGAAAAAGACAGTTGGATCTGGCACCTCCTCCATGCTTAACATGTTGAACTGTATTCTAACATTTTATTGAATGGGGACGTTTTGGAACCAAAGGGAGTTTTTTTTTTTAATTTGGTGGTAGTTTTGCAGACAATTTGACATAGAAGAAATGTTTTACAGGGTAGGTTGATTTGGTGATAAGATTAAACTTCCTCCTGTGCTTTCCCTTTTCTTGTCCAAATGCCCACATATTGTTTGGTTATTTTTTTTTTTTTACATTCACAGATGTACTGTGATTTACTGTGAAGTGATGAATGTACTTTTAAATGAACTTACTGTTTAAAACAAACATCCACACAGCAAAATTCCACTTTTTCTAATATTCCCTCCTGGTCCTGGAGGGCAATGGTCTGCTTGGTTTCCTAAGTAACTTGTGTCAATGAATCAAGGCCTGGAAAGTGTTAATATAGACTTATTAAGTCGATAATTGATTCAAATAAAATCCATACTTTATGTGTTCAGGGTTGATTCAAAACAGAACATACTGTCAGCCCTCAAGGAATAAATGCCAGTCTGTCAGACAGATATGCCTTTTCAAAAGTGACAGCTCGGTATTAAAATATATAACAGAAGAAAAGAAGTACAAACCCGTTTTATTTTGGTGACTTATTGCTTTTACTGTATAACAAATACTAGAATTATTCTTTCACATTTGACCTGTGAATGTTTTGTATTGTGTATCCGAAGAAGAATGGTACATTTGAGTGATTTTACTGAGCTGTAGCGATACCCTGAAAAGCAGGAAAACTATTAGTTGTGTACTGAGAGTGACCGTGACAGGTACTGCAGCTTTTTGCAAAATGACATCAAGACAACCATCTCTCCCAGGGTAGGATTGACTTCTAGGATTTTGTGCAGTCACAGAGAATTCTAATAATGTCTAATAAATGAAACTTTAATTTATTTGATGTAGTGTATTCAGTCCAGGATCTCAAGCTGCCCTTCTCAGACTGTATACTCATCAACTCGTGTAAACAGTAAAATGTCATGTTACCCTCTCATTCAGATCCATACCTAAAAGTATCCTATCTAAGTGTTAGAAAATGACAGTTAATATATTAAAAACGTCCAATCTCACGCTATCTAGTCAGTTTTGTCAATTAACTGCACCCACTTGCCAAAGAATTAACTTAATGACCTGCTTCCGCACTTTTGGTTAATTCTCACCTAAACAGCTAAACTCAGACAGGTGGACCCTGAAGCCTCTTCTGCGATGGGTGTACTTCCCACAAGCACATCGCCCCAGGCATATTATTGACATACAGCGATGTGCATGAGACAAAATGTCTTTTTCGTCAAGTGACTTACTTTGGGTGTCGTATATCTGGCAGCGAGCGATCCAAAGCAATGTTGTTACTAACATATATGTTGAAGCCATTCTCTCTGTACGCAGAGTCCTCGGATTCCTCCTCAGTAAGTGGATAAGGCTTCCCATGCTCTCCTTTACCTAAAAGACAGAAATGATACTGAGCAGTCAGAGCTCCCTCACGAGAAGAACAGAGGATTGAGGTTTAAAAAGAAACATCCTGCACATTCCCCCCTTTTGGTTTTCCGATTTTTCATCATGTCAGATCGACAACTATTTTTATTCTTATGTTCACACTTTCACAAATAAAACTTAACCGAACATACTGTACATGAAATATCCATTTTGTTTCCTTATACAATGCATTTTTATTTTAAGGTGTACTGAATATAAAAAGAAAACCAAAACATACATGGTTATCATCAGGAAAATGATTACCTTTTTTGTAGCACATCGCAATATATTATGAATTATTCCAATTAAACTTTGTCATGTTAAATAGGGTTGATCAACAGGGGTCATCTGGAAAAGTTACGGGCTAAAAGTGTGTATGACCACTAATGGATTTAATACAAATTGTACATATGCAATGCATTAGTGCATCATTCTGTTACATTTGCTGACATCCACCGATATAATCATTCTAAGGTTTTTTTATTAGCCTCTTTCCAAGTTTTCCTATGATTAAGTATATAATATGTTAAAGAACTAGATATTTTAGCAAAATGTAAAACACTTCATCACTGCTCCAAATACATCATAGCAGAGCCTTAACTGTATAAATTACCATTTGTCTCCCACTCCACAAACAAATAAGGAAACAATGACAAAAGTGATGAGCCTGCATCTTGTGGAAAGTGCTGAGTGCCTACTTAAATACAGTCAAAAGGTTGATGGCCACAACTTAGAATGTCCTTTCTTCGAATCAGATTGTCTTAAAATCCAAAAACCATGTGTCTCACCATTTACTGTAGTATTATTTACTACTGATAACATGCAAGTGCAAAAGGAGTAATAAAGTGAGGACCCTGTCATAGAGCAGCCTTGGTGAATTCAGCACTTCACAACACTCCAGGGTGGGTGGCATGGTGCTACAAGGGTCACATTTTTTACCAATGTATACTTTTAAAGCTTCGGTTACCTGCAGCAATTTAATTCATTATTTTGGAATTTCGCTTTCAAGTTTGGATTCGCATTCATCGCATTTCCCATCTGGCTCAAAGTGAATGGGTTTATCATACTCACTTTTCATGGTTTGCTTCTGATGTTTGCTTAGAGATTCTGGAACGCCACATTAAAACCTCAAACAAAGAACAGCAGCTCCCTCCTAATTTGAAGTCAGGTGTTTGACAGCTTCCAGATGGTGACTGTCAAACTGGTGGAACTCCAGGCAACAGGAAAAGTGGTACATTTGGCTATTTTTTTCAATTTTTTAAGAATGTTAAATAACAGATTTTTAATGTTAGGTTTGCCTAATATTTCTTAAAATATAATCCGTTATATGTGCTTGCTGGCACAAAAGAGGCCCTCTTAAGAAGCTGTTTTGTGAACCCTGAGCATCATGAAGCAATTTGGTAGACATACAGTACTATACAAATGGCATCACAGAATTATTATAGTGCACACAAGAGCTTACTTCATCTGGTCAGTCTGACCATTGTTTGTGTCCATGAAGGTTTGCACAGAACGATATGGATTGTAGCTATGTGAAGCTTTAAGTCCATTCAATGGGATTATCGTATTCCCCATTATGCCTTTTGTAAGTACACTTACAGTATCACTACTTCTAAATATCTCCTTAATGTTGTACAAATAAACTGGTTTCATGTAAAGGGTTTGATATTTTTGAAGTATATCAGTACAATATGTAGTGAGAAGGAATCATTTCAGATACAGAGTTTCAGATTATTAGATACTATCATGTAATAAAGGCTAATGTTAAATTGGTGAATTGGTGAATGTCATGTGGAAGAAACAAATTCTATCTCTGCATCAGATATTTACAGTATACTGTATGTTTACATAACCAACATAATTCATTAGTCGTCCTCAAACAGAAAATATATTCTTGTTTGCCTTTTATTGGATTGGAATCTCATCAGTCACATGCAATATAACCCTCAACTTCCAAAATAGACATGAATAAAAATAGCTATCATGCTCTTATACAGTCCATTCCTTAGCTTTTTTGTTTCTTATTTGCTTATATTACAGGCATTCTTTCATTATAATACACAGAGAGAAGCTGTAAATTTTCAGGAGTTTTGATTTGGTGCTATTTAAATAGATCAGATTCAAACACTGCAGAAATAATTTGCAGAAACAAGCACCGAGATATGCCAGTGTAATGACAATGTCAGTTTAATGATCTGTACTGGGTCTAAAACGTATTTGAAATAAGTAGAAAATTATTGTTTTTTTTATTTGACTAGAAACTAGTCAGAGCTCAGAAAGAACAAGCAAGCCAGTCAGAAACTGTCCAGGTGGAAATCCTAATACCTTCACGGTATGGTTACTTTATATCTTCTGAACATGTGGTTATTGGACTGCGAAAGCTTTTGTGAAATGCTGTACAAGTTTAGTACAAAGGTTTAACTGCAACTTCTATTTGACACATAATACATTTTAACAACATAAGGGTTTAAAAATGTCATTATTAAGCAATACTGTCATTTGAGAACTACTGAGACACCTACACATTAGCCTGACCACATTACTGCCTTGCAAGGGAAACAGCCAGAAGGAAATCTAAGCAGAGGGTGAACAGCTCAGATCCTGATGTTGCCCATACTGTAACTTCAACTGCAAAATCGATCTATTTTTAATTTACTTGTAATATAAGCATTTAACCCTAAATTTGCACAATGAAAAATGAAAAAAGAGTCATTTAAACTATCTACCATTTTTAAATTGATACATAATAATATGCATCATTAATATTACAGTACATATCTTGTTTTAGGAGGGTAAAATATTTTATAAATTAGTGTAAACTTGTGAAGATGGAAATTCTGTGAAGTTAACTATCACTAGAACTCCTCAAGATAGCAACTGATGCACTGTGGTGCTTTTCTCTGATTACTTTATGTTATTTGTATTTTGAGTATATATTTATTTCAGGTGGGTAGCTTCGTCAGCATGCATAGGCTGCAAAGGAACAAGTAATAGGTTTATTCCATGCTGAAAAAAAGAAGAAAGAGAACACAACGTTTCAGCCGTGGAGCCTTCTTCAGGTGTCAGGTGCCTTCACACCTGAAGAAGGCTCCACAGCCGAAACGTTGTGTTCTCTTTCTTCTTTTTTTCAGCATGGAATAAACCTATTACTTGTATATTTATTTCATATAGATTTATATTTATTGACAATCAATAAATCAGCATTTCTTTCAAATCTGGTCGCAGTGGTTTGATATAGAGATGCAACACAAACCTTGTGAGAACCTATGAACAAATCAAAGTTTATTTTATTAATTTATTAGTTTATCCTGAAATTGAGCTTGTGTGTCAAATGTGGTCCAGTATGTAATGTATGCTTAAAAAAATCAAACTAAATTGTCAGAAAGACTAATCCAGCCAATCTTTAGCAGTAGTACAGAGCTCTGCAGTGGGGGTCTTAAGTCAGACACACATGCACATACTGTACACTTAGATTCCTGGTCAACTTATTCTATGCATAGAGAAGTAATCCATAAAATAAAAGATGTTGCTTCAACTGAGAAATACATCAGTCTTTTAACATGAAACTACTAAACCATGAAGGAGGAGATTTGAGCTTTAAATCCTTCTGTCATTTTTCTCTAATAGTGTACATCTCTCTGTCTCAGATGATGGAGAAGTGTTGATGCACAAATGTGCAGAAATACAATGCAGAACCTGAAACACCCATATATTGTATTTTATCAGTTTGCTTTACTTTCAGAATACAGCACAAAAGCACACGACACTGCTGAAATTCTCTCCACAAAATAGACCTTTCTTCAAAATTCTTCTGTTAATTCACTGTGACAGCTTTTTTGCACAACTTGTGAAATCATTATCATAAAATGATGACAAGCTTATTTATTGCTGTTTTGGTGCTTCATATGACTTGACAGCAACCATAGAAACTGTATTTTGCTTTTTTTTTAAACATCTATACATTTTTAGAAAACTGTCTTAATCTTGTTTAGGATCGTGGCAAATTTGGATCTTATCCCTGAGGCACAGGGCAAGATGGGACCACACCCACACATTATAGTAGTTGTATATAAATGTCACCAAATGTCTTTAATCACATCTAGCATTCAGACTGTACTGTACAGTACATCCATATTGGTGTTTTTTGACTGTACATTGAATGTAGCCATTTATATGTGTACTGTATATATACTGTATAAAAATAACTTTACAAATCATACCCATCAGTAATGCAGATATTGTATATCTGCAGGGTTTTTTGTGTGTAAGTGCTGGGAGTATGTATCAGGTAGCTGTAAATCAATGTCGCTGCAGAGGTCAAATCTAGCCAGCTTGCTTTAATCTTCTCGGTCCATTAGCAAGTAAGGATTGTGTGATTGTGCAATACTCTGTACTGCGTCTCTCTAGGTGTCTAGTCAGTGCCTTTACAAATGGAAAAGGAAAATATTTGGATTAATCATCTCTGTTAACATTGTATGCCATTAAAGTGCTCATTTTTGTCAAAAAGTTCACTGCACATGTGCTGGAAATCTGAAACAGAGATTTATAACATTTTCATGGGAATACAGTAACTATGAATCTGATTTCAGTTCAATAAAACATAAAGCAAAGCATTATTTTTACATCAGCTTTAATAAAATACATAATTGAAAGTTAGACCATATCCAGATTTAATTAACACTCATACACACATGATCTTACAGCTAAGTTTTCCATGAGCAGGAAAAATATATTTAAAATTCAAAAGCAATTAAAATATTCCATACTTGTACTGTATATAACCTTATACTGCATATACTGTACCCACTGCACTTAATTTAATACTTGAATATATGATCACCTCTTAAATTTAAATTTCTTGTAATGCCATAACATATTGCCATATACTGTACTTACTGCTACAAAAGTACTTTGGTAGCAGTCTAATCATATTTATATTTACTGTACATGTTTTTTTCTAAAACAGC